TTCAACTTTCGGTTTATTTCATGCAAATTTATAGGATTCAACCGAAAGTTGAAACTCAACCATCGGTACGAACTCTGTTTTACTGCTTTCTTGTTCAAGAGTGCGTTCACAGTCGAACGCCGGACGCTCACCGAGTGCACACCGAGCGCGTCTTTTGCAGGGTTTATGGCTAGTTGCACCAAGATTCCATTAATCTAAGCTTAATAAAATTGGGATTCAAAAATAAACCTCGATCATTCGACCTGACGTTGCATGGCACACAACTAAGCTCGGTTTGATTAAACTAGTAATTTATAGGATTTTTTACCTTTAGGTTGGCAAACATGTTGAAAATTTGTCATATGTGAAAGCATTAGACGTGAAAGCAAAAATAGAAAATATAACCTAGAAAGCGAATTATTTTTTGTAAGTTTTTCCGAATCGAAGCAGTGACTGAACCCTTTGTATTTTGTAGTTTTTTTCTGCTAATTCGCTTCATTTGAAAAAATAGATCCACTAATAGCACAAGTGAAACAGAGATGAGCCAATTTTACCAACAACGATAAAGCTCTCCTACTATAGGTACTAATTAATATTATGGCAAAATACAAGATCATTATTGAAAAAAAAAAAAAAACTGATTCTCTCTATAGTTTTCTCTATTTTCGTAGCTAGCAAAGTTTCAAACATTCTACAGCTCTTGGACAAGAAGGCCCTGCACTGTTATACTTTATACTTCTGTATTATTTCCTTCCAAGTGTCTTGCTTTTCATTGCCGTATATTCTATTTTGCACAGATATTTCGATCGAGATTGATTATTGAATTTAAAAATCAAATAGGTATCTACCTACATAATAATAAATAATGAAATTCTCACAACATGAACATATGCCGTAAACAACGACAGACGGCATGTCATTTCACTTTGCGAATTTCCTTTCTACGCATTCAATTAGTAAAACTTCCCTTTAAACCATCAAACATGACCGTTTAAGTTGAACCAAGTTCAAATCAAATTAAACTTTGTTCAAGAAACTAAGAGGAACCTGGAGCTACTAAGGGCAGCAAAGGTTTTCAAGGAGGAGAACAAATACAAATTTGTGTGGGTTAGTAACGGAAGCGTTCTACTACGAAAAGATGAAAATTCGAAGGTTTTGTTAGTGGATGATGAAAAAAAACTACAAATTTGAAAGCAAGCGGTAAGCGGTAAGCTCTTACTTAATTATATAAATGCTCAAAGTTTACGAAATAAAATAGACCTAGTGCAATGTCATGTTCTTGATCAAAACTCAGATATACTTTTAATTGCCGAATCTTGGCTTAATTTTCACGAAACTTTTCTGTATAAACTAAAAGGCTACACTGCTCTTCACTCGTGTAGAGATGGTATAGGGGGCGGGGTTTCTATTTATGTCAAAGATGAAATAAAGATTATTGAATTAGAAAAGTCAAAACAGAAGGAGCTAGTTAATTGGACCTGTATTAAAATACTACAACATAATCTTATATTAAGTTTAATTTACAGGCCTCCATCTTACAGCTATTTAGATTTTCTAAATCAACTAGAATATATTTTTCAAAAATATCCCAAAAATCATCTGATAATAGGAGATTTTAATATTAATCTGCTTGATTTAAATTCACTCGAATCTACCAGATTTAAAAACTTAGTATTTGTAAATAATTTTCAAGTAAAAAACACAATTTCAAATAAATCCGCAACCAGAATAACAACAAATAGTAGAAGTGTTATTGACCTTGTTCTGATTGATAAAAATTGTAAATATAATTGTAAAGTTAATGTAGCGCCAATTTCTTTTTCTGACCATAATCAATTGCTTGTTAACATCCTCCATAATATAAAAATAGCGAAGCCAAAAATTAACTTTGACGTTAAAGCTATTAATCACCTTAAATTTAAAAATTTATTTGAAAATAAGATCGGTGATAATAATACGATAACATCTTTCAGTGCATTAACAGACATAATCACTAGCTGTAAGAGTAGGTCGGAGTATGTAAAAAGTATTAGATGTAGGCAAAATTATTGGATGGATCAAGAAGTTCTAGATTTAATGAAGGATAGGGATAGGTTGTATAAAATTAAGATTAGGAGACCAAATGATGTACAAATTGCAGAAAATTTCAATATTTTAAAAAATAGAATCAATAATAAAATAAGGGTGTTAAAAAATAGGTATTTTAAAAATGAATGGGAACAGACAGGTACAAACGCTAGAAGACAGTGGCAATTTATAAATAGGTTAATCAAGGAAGGCTATTGTGAAACTAAAATAAATTCGCTAATTGTGGATGATACTGAGATACAGAATAAGGATTTGATTGTAAATAAATTAAATGAACACTTTACTAAAATAGGGGAAAATATTATGAAAGAGGTAGAAACAGAACGACAAGCATTTAATTATAATATACATAATAATGAAATAAACATAGGAAACAGTTGCTACTTGGAATATACTAATGAGACTGAAGTCCTAGAAGTGATACTAGAACTTAAACCCAACTCTGCTCCGGGGCATGACCAGATTTCAGTTAGGGATATATTAAACCTACAGCAATACATAACTCCAATATTAACACTCCTAATTAATTCAGTATTTACCAGTGGTATTTTTCCCGATGAACTCAAGGTTAGCAAAATAAGCCCTATTTACAAAGCAGGAGCAAAAACGTCACCTAATAATTACCGACCAATTTCTGTCCTTAGTGTATTTTCCAAAATATTAGAAAAAATAATGAAAAAGAGGATGCTGTCATTTATTGAAAAGTTTATAGAAATTGATAAGTATCAATATGGCTTTATAAAAAATAGCAATACCTTAAGTGCAACTGTGGATTTTGTTGATTTCATCTCTAGGGCTTTAGATAAGAGTCAGCTTGTGGTGGCAGTCTTTATTGACTTAAGGAAAGCATTTGATGTTGTAGATATTAATTTGTTATTGGAAAAGCTAAGTAATATGGGTTTCAGGGGAGCTATACATGGTTTAATAGAAACATATCTTATTAATCGTCAACAATATGTCAAACTAGAAAAATATAGTAGTGAATTTTTGATTAGCAGAAGTGGAGTGCCTCAGGGATCTGTACTAGGTCCCCTGTTGTACTCCCTCTATGTCTTAAGCTTAAAATACTCTAGGGTAAATGCCAGATATTTTACCTTTGCCGACGATACGGTATTGGTTTACACTGGGAGTGACGAAAATAATTTATGCTTTGAAGTTAATGCTGATTTAAAGAAATATATGCACTGGCTGTACTGTAACAAATTAAAAATTAATGGTGATAAGACAAAATATATAATATTTAAGCAAAAAAATAAAATAACCGAAAACATATCTATTCAAATAAACAATGTTTCTATTGAACAGGTTACCCATATCAAATATCTTGGTTTGGTTGTAGATGATAAACTTACTTGGTCAATGCATATAAACTACATGCGCGAAAAAATTCTTCCAATTATACCTGCATTATTTAAGCACCGACACTATCTAACAAAAAAATCTAAATATAATGTTTATAATGCTTTCATTCTGCCTCACTTACGATATCTTATTCCCGTGTGGGGATCTAGTGCCCAGTGTCATATTACTGAGATTATGACATTGCAAAATACGGTTGTGAAAATTTTATTCAATTTTGACAGACTCACAAATTCAGCTATATTATATGAAGAGCTAAACATAAGTCCGATAATTAAAATATATGAATTCGAGCAGGATAAACTTATGCATAAAATATTAAAACAAAGTCAGAAGAGCAATATTAATATTATTTTATCGAATGATGTACACCACTATAATACCAGAACCAACTGTGATATTTACCAAATTGTAACTAAAACTAATATAGGTCTCAATAATCCAATAGTCCGAGCTTCCAAATCTTATAATAAGGTACCTGGAGAAATTAAAAATGTAAGAAATTTCAATACATTTGTAAAAAAGCTTAAGCAACACTTAGACATAAGGTAAACAAAAACTGAGATTATTTTCTCAAGACCAGTGCTTACAGGCACTGTTTAGAGAAATTGTATTATTGTTATTGTAATGAATGATTTAAGAAATAAACGATTTTCAAAAAAAAAAGCGCATCCTTTTCAACCCAGTGAAATATTTAACCTGGTTAAGTATTACCCAGGGTAAACCACTATGAACGCGCCCCAAAAGACTATTTCTAGGGGGGGGGCAAATGCCCCCTCTTGCCCCCCCCCCCAAACGACGCCCATGAACACAAAACACACAAAACACACAACCACAAACAAGTGCGGAAAATGATACTTTCCCGCACGAAAAACCAGTTAGACGAATGACGTACGCAAAGCGGAGTTCGGATAAAGTTTCCAGTGCGGGAAAGACACTTTGGGCATCAAGTATTAGGAACAATACTTTTTGTACGAGTGTTTGAAGATTTGCATAGCATCCAGAGGAGCTGTACCTTATCTTCTTTAATGTTTCTAGATGCTCAAAACTGGCTGATCTCTTTTTTACTTGTGGATCCATTTTGTCATTAACAGAATCTTGGTGTAACTAGCCATAAATCTGTTTATTTAGAAGAATAAGTATACTTTTTAAGATTAATGACACGATTTACTTATTTCAATTCATTGTATTAACTATTATAAAATAATTTTTACTTTTCCAAATCATACGTCTTTTACTTATCTTACCTAAAGATACAACAAAGGAGCTATAGAAGAGATTTTCGGTGATTTAATGATACATTTTCATAGGTAAGTATTGCTATTTCACTAAAATATTACAATACAGAGTCATGGTATAAATGCACTGAATTATATCTACAGCATGTAGGTACCTACCTAAAATATTCGAAGCGATATGGACCATTATTCACAATATTTATACATATGTGACTTATATACACTTTATCACACATTTTGATACGTAACTACAATCTACATACATTATTCACGAAGTTTTTTCAAACTTAATAAATACTAATAAATATTATATTGTTTACTTAAATAATATTATCACGGTAATTAACTAGAAAGTCATGATAATCATTAATCACACTTGATTGGTAAAAAACTTATGATGGGTACTGGAGGGTATATTCTCAATTGAAGAATTCTAAACATTGCCTAAGTCCTGGTATTTTCTTTTATCCAATCCAAATATTGGGTAACTCTGGTATAGACTCCAGGGTATCCAGGCTCACCACACTTGTTTCCGAATGAGACCACTCCTATCTGAATCCATCTGGTCTCCCAATTCAACATAAGCGGCCCACCGGAATCTCCCTAAAATCATTTTATATTACACACTTATTTATGTTATTAGAGAATAAATCCATCATTAGGTATTGCATTTTGCATTTAATAATAAAAAAATAATAAAAAAGGAGAAGAAACAATGATGTGATTCCAGATTTTATTTTAACTAAAGGACCCCGCAATATTTAAACGGAAATTGGTTACCCGTGATATTTCGATGAAATTTAAATATGTTATTAGAAATGCCGTAAGCAACATTTTTTACCATGGGCTCAACCTTGTATATCTGACAGGTGAGGCGGTTTCAGCTGTCAAATATTGGAATCTAATATACAAAAATAGGGTAACTATGGCAGATTTTGGTGAAGCAAGTATCGATTCCTAATAAGTCGATCAAGGAAAATCGAAAAACGTCAACCATTTTGACATCTGTCAAAACCCTGCCAAACGGCAGCACTCATATTTTTCAGTTTTCAATATTTCATGATGTGTCATTTGACAGTTTCAATTTATGTAAATTCAGAGTTCAAAAATTGAAAAAAATATTACAGTACTGTCAAAACCTGCCATTTGTTTTAGTAAAGAAAAGATTCCAATTTGGTTCTTTTTCGTTTGAAGGTACATAGTTCATTGGTGATCAAACATTGAACAACGCTCATAGACATCAAATTTTGACAGCTGTCAGAATCTGAAATAAGCCAATTATTTAAGTTATGCTTATTTATTATGAAACATAAAAAAACTTTATACACAGGTTTCAGATTTAGACAGCTGTCAAAATTTGATGTCTATGAGTTTTGCTTAATGTTTCATTACCAATGAACTACCTTAAAACACAAAAGAACCAGATATGAATCTTTTTTTCCTACTAAAATAACACTAAGAGTAATATTCATTTCTTCACCTGCCTGACCCAGTATTCCGTTAGACATATGATGTGTTGTTTTGTTTGTTATTTAGTTGAACCTCCAGTTCTAACGTTTTTTCGAGCTCCCCTTGTAATATGGTTGTATCCCAAATAACAGTGAAAGAACATTCATATTCTCAGAATATTCCCTCAAAGTGCTTTTTGGAATATTCTTTTAGGAATGTTCAATGAATATTCTAAGATTGTTTCGATTGAAATATTCGTTTTTGAACGTTCTATTTATGTACTAGGAATGTTGCTTCTATGCACCTACCTGAAAGATTGTGCTAAGAACCTACTTTATATAACATTATTTGAATATTCTCATACGAACATTATTATAATGTACCCTAAAAAATGTTCCTTCAGCTAATATCTCTATCAAGTATTAAGAATATACCGACCAAGTTGTGCTGAGAAGTTTATGTAGGTAGGTACCCATGATAAGAATATTTCCATATTGTTCACCTAATTATCTAAAGTACCTACTCAAAAACTTAATTAAACAATTAAACAATAATGCTCTATCTAGAACCTACTAAGAATATTATAGGTATATTCTTTTTCATTTGCTTTGTAGGACTTCCAAGAGAGGGAGCTACGCGCTATTAAAGATCTACATCTTGTCTCGCGTTTGAATCACCTTGGAACCTGTTTCTCTCAGTTGGCGTGCTTCGAGAGAGCATAACAAGCTCGAAACCGGAGCTTTGGTTAAACACTTGTGTTTTCCAGAGAAATTTTCCAACAATTCTTCTCTGCCTTCAATATAAAAGGACTGGAAGGAGCATAATTTGGAAAAGAAAATTAACATTCCAAGTATATCCTTAGAATCAAATAAGAATCTTATGTCTAGGATGCATATTGAGAATGATATATGTAGATATATTCTAAGAATATTTCAAGCATATTGGTGTAATATTCTTTTGAGAACATAACTATAATGTCATAGAAACATTCTTTGAATATGAGAATATACATTACGAGCATATTTTTAGAATTAAACAGGAATATTTTTTTCAGGATGTACTGAGAATCTCATAGGTACATTCTAGGAATATCCTAATGGATTTCCCAGGAAGTTCTTGGGTATTGCAAACAGTATTTCTACAATCTTTTCTCAGAACATTCTCAGGACATTCGCAATGGTTTTGGCGAACATTCTAGGCACATTCCTCCTAAAAAAAGAACATTCTTAGTACAGGTTAAGGATGCAATTTTGTTATGTGGGATTGGACATCAAGATTTTGGGTATCAGTTTTATGGTATCGTTTTTTGCGATAAAAATAATCTCGTTCAAATTCCTCTTAAAATAGTTCGATTCAGAAGAAAAAACATTGAAACTTGAAGAACATCAGGATGTACAGGGTATTTGATTATATATTTAAGCTCATACCAACAACCTTTATTACTATTTAAGAAAGAAAAAAAATTTAAATACAAATCTTGACAGTTTCGACAAAATCGCATCGGAAAATGGAAAAACGTAAACAACTTCGACTTTTTTTGGGACACCCTGTATATTATGCGATAAAATGAAAGATCTTTTCTTCCTGATTCCATATACATACACCTATATTGATCAGTGATCACATTTGCAATTTCTCTGGAAATTATTTATATAGTACCTACTCATTAAAATGAGAAAAAAGTAAATAGAAACATGGATCCGCGAATGCTTAGTTTTCAAGATACAGGGTGTCAAAGTTTGAAAAAAAAATCGTTTTTTTAGCTCAAAAATCCCTTTTCCTATTTTTTTTGTTTTCAAATTTGGCAAGCTTGTTTGTGATAACAAAAGGTATTTTTTGACTGTAATATGACTTGCTTACTCAGAAAAAAAGATCAAAGTTTTAAAAAAATAGTGACGTGCTATTTTTTTTCTACTTTTACCAACCGCAGTTGCCCTCTGGGGCGCTACTGGAATAAATACGGTAAATCTAATTGAATCAAAAGATAGCTTTTGTTATTACAAACAAATCTGCCAAGTTTAAAGAAATTCGGGAAACGGATTTTTAAAAACCGATTTTTTCAAGCTTTGACACCCGGTATCTCGAAAACGAAGCATTTGCGGACCTATGTTTCCATTAACTTTTTTCTTATTTTAATGAGTACTATTTATCCTAGAAGTTTGATTCCACTATTCATCAAGACCCTGTATTTGGAATCCGGAAGAAAATGTCTTTCATCTTATCGCATAATATACAGGGTGTTCCATTAAAAAAAGTCGAAGTTGTCTAAGGCGATTTTATTTCTTCTGATAACGTTAGAAGAAAATATAGAAAAAAAAAGTTTTGTACCTATTTACAGTTTTTTCTATCTTGAAAAGTAAAGGCTGTAGTTATGGGCTTAAATATAATGAAATACCCTGTACACCGTCGAAACGAAATAAAACAACAGTTGTGTATTTCGGTGTTAATTCAATAATATCGTCTGAGCGCTTCCGGTCTTACTAGACCATCTTCAGAGCCGCCCTATAACTTTGCTTGTTATAGGGAGACTCTGAAGATGGTCTAATAAGACCCAAAGCGCTCATTCAACTTTATTAAAGAAAGAGACACAATTAAAATTGAAAATAGGCCCCCGTTAATTTCAACCAAATTTCAATATTTTAAAGGTATCATCGCAAAAAAAGATTTGAAATGTAAAGAGGATCGTATGTCCGTGATAGCAGATATAGCTTGTCAAAGTACGTAGGTCCTGCTATGCTATGCATAGGAAATATTCGAGGAAATATACCTACGTATATTTTTTTGCAAAAAAAACCAATCCGATTTTGACCTTTTTGGAGTTTGATACCCAAAAAAGGAGCCTAAAAACGTCAAAATCGGAGTAGTATTTTTCGAGATATTCAAGAAAATCTACGTAGAGATATTTCCTCGGATATTTCCTATGCATATATAGCAGGACCTCTACGTACTTTGATAAGCTATACGTATATGCTATCGCAGACATACGATCCTCTTTACATTTCAATTTTTTTTTTGCAATGATGATACTTCTAAAATATTGAAATTTGGTTGAAATTTACGGGGGCCTATTTTCAATGTTAATTGTGCCTCTTTCTTCAAACCGAATTACACCACTCTTGTTTTATTTTGTTCCACAAAATATTGACACCATCAAAATCCAAATTGTGTCCTAGGTCAAAATGGTGCAATTGGGTTTTTCAGGTACTGTTTTGTAGTTTTCGCATGGCATTTCTCACAATCTAAGCAAGGAATTTTATAAACTAAGTTGGAACGAAGTTCTGGTGGATTTTTATCTTTAAGCCTAATGTAGATGCCATTAAGAGTTAATTTATTCTAGAATGCTAATTTACAATTGGAAATTTTGTCCTGGAGGATTTTTTGATTTTTTTTCCGAATATCCTCTTATATCTACAAGTGTCCCCCATAATGTTCGCTATATGAGGAAATAACAAGCTGTGCTAAAAGTACATTTCGACATCGGTTATGCGATCACTGTTGTGGCGGCAAATTCGAAAATCCAGATATGGAAACGCGAAAAGTGGGGTTAGTTTTAGGACTGTCTGCGAAATTTGGATTTAGGAAATAGGTAATTAATTGTTTTTCGCCATGGATCTCTTTATCAAATAATATTATACAGTTTTCATTATTGAAATAGTCCAAGTACCTCAATATTAAATGTATATTGGTAAAACAAACTTAAGTTCTTCATTGGAATAATTCCTAGAGATTTAAATTCGATTAGCACATGAAACTTTTCAGTAGCAATACCCTGTATCTTGACAGTTATGCAACGTGTTTTAGAACTTTATTGAAATATTTATTGAAAAATCTCAATAACGGTTCTTTTCAATTGTTGTATCAACAGTAAATTATTGGAAATCTCACAAACTTTCAAGATACAGAGTATTGTTGTCTGTGTGGAATTTTTTTAATTTTTATTGTGAGGCCTTTTACTATTCCCAATTATAAAAGTCCAGGTAACAATTTTTAATTTTCTCAAATTGTAATTTGTTTTTTATTTCTAGCCCATTTGCCACCATATAGGTACTCCAGGCTACTGAGATTCTAGGCTCGAAATAAAAGATTTTTTATTGTACTAATTTTATGGGTTATTGGTATGACATGATACATAATTCAAAATGCGACCCGAAGTA